ACCCATCTGAGGAGATGGCACTCAAGTCCCTCGGTTCTCATCGCAGAGTCCCTGGACAGAGAGCCCTCCCCTAGAACTGCAGCCGTGGACTGGAACCCCCCGCCTCCTAAACCCTAATAAATGTTCCCTGTGTCGTGCTTGCTACAGCAGCACTGTGACACTAAGACACAAACAAGTCGCTGGTTGTTCCTTTTACGTCAGAACACCTTATTTGGTTATACTAAGGCTTTAACAAGCTTCAACTCCCCAAACAGTCCAAATGATGAAGATTAAAACAACTCCCTGAGCCATTTCTGTTAAAGCTCCTTTCTGCTTTTCAAGAAATGCCAAATGGAGAGCCCACATCTAGACTCAACAGTGCAGAGTTCTTACCTCCAGCTCCTAAACCCACACATTTCAAACAACTGTACGTTCAACCATTCTTTTTGGCGGCAAACTTTTATCTGAACGCTCCATTACATTGGGAGCGCTAGGGAGCACATGGAATACATACATCGTTGCTTATTTAAAATCTGAAAGATCTGAATTCCCAAACAGATTTGCTCCTAAGTTTCATAAGCATCTGGAATTGCAGCTCAACTGAGGTAAGGGGCTTATTAGAAATGAAGAAGAAGAAGAAGAAACCCTTCTGGATCAGTATGTAAATTTAGGCATCAGAGTGAAGGGAATTGGATTTAATGACTTCTGAAATCCTTGACCATTATTAAATGCTAGGATTCCGCCTGGTTGATTTCGACCCTGAAGCACATAACAAATTATGCTGAAGTCTGAATTATGTTAAATTCCTATAGACGCATGGGTATTCAGGGAGCTGGACGTGACAGGCACCCATTCTTACAAGTGTCTTGAAGGACGTGGTTTGGTTCAGGACTAATAATACCTGCTGGGCCAAGCACAGAAACCATGTCTTCCATAATAGTCTTGTGGACCTCGGGATGCGACAGGATGAACGCCAATGTCCAAAAGGCAATCTTTAAAAAGAGGAAGACGTATGTCAGTGTGTGAATTTTTATGAAAAACTTTTATGAGCAAAAATGCATATCTAGTATTGACCCGTGAACTCCTGCCCGCTCATCAATTCTGACTCCCAGCAAGACGTGAGCAGCCATGGAGAGCTGTGCTCCACAGGGTCCCGCAGGCTGTGAGTCCACTCCTCTCAGATCAGGTCCTCCTTCACAGAGACTGCGGGGCTGGGTTCGAACTCCCAACCCTTTGGTTAACAGTCAAGTGCTTAAACATTTGTGGCACCCAGGAACTCCTGAATTTTGTATTAGCCAGAACATTTCAGAGAAACACAGACAATGTTTAAATCCATTTTAAAAGAATGGTACTAAAAGGCACCTGTGTAAATTTAAATTTTATAAATGAGAAAGATGTTAGTGACCACTGATTTGGAGTTCCAGTGCAGGGCCCTGGTTCTGGGGGGAGGCTCTCTCTCCAGAGGCTCTGGAAAAAGATCCTTGGAATGTGTCACATTTGTAATTCTATTCTGTTATCACGAGGGGGCTTCAAAAAGTTCACGGGAAAATTCCAATATCTTGTGGCTCTCTCCCTCAGGAAATTTCTTTTACAGATTTATTGACATATAATTTGCCTATCATTGCAATTTAATAGTTCAATCATATTAAGAAGAGTTGTGCAATCATTACCACAATCAATTTTAGAAGACTTTCTTTCTTCTTCTCACTGTTGTTAGCTCCCCACTCCCCACCATAACCCTGGGAAATAACTAATCTAGTTATGTCTCTACTGATTTACCTATTCTGGATGTCACATATATAAAAACATATCAAATTAAGCATAAAAAACAATGACAAAATAAAACAG